TCCTGATCTCTGGGTATTTACATGCTCTGGGAGTGGGATCTCCAGCTTCTTCCATGGGGAAAACCCCTGCTCTCCCCACCCCAGCCAAACACAAAAGTTCATAGCCAACTCCGCAAGCTGAAACTCCCTATAGGTTATTTCTGCAGAGGGAAGAATGAGGGCCAGGCCCTCAGCAGGGGTAAATTGGCATCGCTCCAGTATATATTAGCTGAGCCCAAACTGCAAAATTCAAAATTCAAAAAAAGTTTTGCTGCAGGCTCAGTAACAGAGTTGGTTCTGCTGTTTTCCATGGTAGTGACCATTTCCTCAATTTTTTTTTTTTTATAACATTTGTATTCAGGAAGTAAGTCTTGCCCTTTGGCTTTAAACCTAATATAGGATCCAATACTATGCCTCATGGTTAATCACTCTTTTTTTTTTTTTGGAGTAATACAGTCATATTTAAAAGTGATAGCATTATTTTCCCGGTTGGAGTGCGCCTGCTGAAATTTGTTTGAAGGTCGGGGTGGGGAGATTCCTATTAACAAAAGAGTTAGGCAAGCAAAATTCAAATTCACAAACAAAATTTGTTTCCTCATCATTTCCTCATCCGCATCCGCAGACCTCAGGAGCAAATGTGAGAGCAGAAGCTGGAGACTACCCACAAAGAAGGCTTCAACTTTGAGCAAATAATTCTCCTATTTAACAGAAATATACTATATACACCAGCACAAGCCTATGATTTAAAGAGAGACGCATGGAAAAAATAAATATATATGTAGGGTCCTGCTTTTCTCTTAATCACATTCACCATAGAAACATTGTCTCTGTATGATTATTAATAATAACCAGGGATAAATTGGACATGAGCTTAAAAAAAAGTGGGCCTGTTTAGAGAGATGCAGAAACATTGAATGAATTGTTCACTCATGCTGGCTGAAATTCCCAATATCGCCAACTCCAAACATCGTGAGTCAGGCACCAAAAGATCATGAGATTGGCTTAAAAATAATAAATTTGGGGTTCTTTTATTTGCCTTCTGATTTTCAAGTCTTTTTCTGGGCACACATGGGGGCTAGAAAGTTACTTTTAAATGAAAGCTGAGATTCTCACATAATCATATGATTCCAGGAGCTGAGACTTTAAGAAAAAGATGTCTCACATATCATGCAACTTACAACAAAATCATGAGAGTTAGCAACACTGCCCCTGTGCGGAAGGTCAATATGAGACCAATTCACTGTACAAATCCCACTCAAAACTGGGCTTAAGTGGAATTTAAGTCACACACAGTTCTCGCTCTGGCTATCTGCACTGGGGTGGCTCACCATGACCTATGGAAAGTCATTTGACCTCTCTGTCAGCCCGTTTGAAAAAATAAGAACAAACCTTACCTCACTGAAAATGAATTGCTGCATTCGAGTGAAGCAATCCTAACTAATGTCATTGCACCCTCCAGGCCAGCCCCATTTACAGGAATAGCAGGACGCATTACAGTGAACATTGTGCAATTGTACAAAGGGTAATGAATGGCCATTTCAATGACAAGATGGCATTATGCTAGCCACCTTAGTATTACTGTGCAGGGACACTGCAGGCTGTGTGCCTCATCTATGCTTGGAACTGGCAACTTCCTCAGACTGCAAACAACCACACCTCTCTTCATTCACATGGACTCTGAAGACTCACGCCTGCAAAGTCTTTCAGTGCTGAGCCACCAGCGAGCTATAGCCAAAAACCTGCACTGAAAATGGCTTTTACCACCCGCACTGCACAAGAAACTGTGCTCCCAGAGAGCAGTATCCCTCCATCACTGTCCTCCTTACATCCTCTCATGCACCAGGGTCTCTTTGCTCTCTTCTTGTGCTTTTGGACTAACTGTAAATCCTTCTTGGGCTTCCTTCTGCCCTGAGATACTCACATTGCCACTGAAGTTAATGGAGTTACTCTGGACGGGTATGATGGAGCAGAAGCCAATTCAAGCTGTCTTGATCTCTGCCTGAAAGCACACCATGCACGTGCATGGAGATACAACAACATCAACAATAATAAGAATACCAAAGGGCAAAACTGGGATCTGTCTAACAAATACTCCAGTGTTCAAGCTAATGAGATGGTCCATGCTTGCATTTGGCCAATGTCAAATATAAAGCTGTATTTATGGCTATTATTGGTTAACACTAATGCCCACGGAGTGCTAGGTGTTATACAAAGAAGCAAGAAGGCACAGCCATGAGTCATGAAGCTGACAAGCACACATAAGTGAGGGGAAGTAGTACAGCATGTAAGTAGAGCCGTCAAATGGCATTTGACCATGCTCTGAAAAAAGAATGTTAAGGTCTTCCACATTCCCAGCACAGCAGAAGAGGGTCTTCAAGAGGGACTTACATGTGGGAGGGGTCTACTGGATGAGCTGAGGAAGATCACACCAAATATAGGGAGCTGCAGTGAAGAAGGCACAGAGGTGATCAAGAAAGATGCTAATGAACAGACGAGGCTGGGAGCATTGGCGGATGGGTGGGACGATGTTGGGGAAATATGATGGGTCAGAGCTAGGGACGGTTTTGCTGCACAAGCATCTGCTTGTGAACACTGAGCTATCTGAAAATGGAAAAAAAAAGACTGTTTTTTCCATCAATTCTGACATTTTGCAGGTGGTAAGGTTTTTTTTCTTTTTTTATTTCCTGCACAGCTCTCGACAGATGCCATATTGCTAGTAACAGAGGAGATTCTGCAAAGCCCAGTGTTCCTGTATCTCAAATGACTCACTTGCTGCTTGCCTGATGGTTACTGTATCAAGCCAGTACGTTTCAGTAACAGGATATGAACGCCTTTAACGCAATTTACAAGCCCCCCACTGAATTCAACGGCAAAACTCATTGATTTAGAAGGGAGCACAGCCACGCCCCTATCAAATCTCATTGTTTACCATATTTTTCAATATGTGATTAGCCTACAGTGCTGGTATTACCCATTGTACAGATGCAAGATGGCTGCTGTAGTTGCATAGATGCAGTGCAGAATCCATGAGCCCAACCTTAGCAATCAAAAGTGTGTCATTTAACTCCCTCCGGCAAGAATTGATCTACTTCTCTTTAAACATGTAAATCTGCCCAGGGCCGCCCAGAGGATTCAGGGGGCCTGGGGCAAAGCAATTTCGGGGGCCCCTTCCGTAAAAAAAAGTTGCAATACTAGAGAATACTATATTCTTGTGGGGGCCCCTGTGGGGCCCGGGGCAAATTGCCCCATTTGCCTCCACACCCCCCCCCCCCTCCCGGGCGGCCCTGAATCTGCCTGGCTTTGGATCAGACTGGGCCCTGTTTTGGCAAGGACAGGTGTGTTTCAATCCAGCTTTGTGAATGCCATCTGTTGCTCGGTGCCATATTCCTTACACAGTATGCTCCCCTGGCCCTCTCCAATAGAAAAATGCTCATTTCATGTTCAGAGTCCTCATCAGCCTTCAAACTGCTACACTCTGCGCTAGATTCTGACTAACCCAGTGCAAATATACACAGGGGAGGAGCGGGGAGGATAGCTCGCCACACTCCCAGTCCTTGCACTTCCTGGGCACAAGAACTGCACCAGGCTTGGGCTGCTGTTAGATATGGGGTAGCAGGGTGACCAGATCAGATATGGAGTCTGATACAGAACCTGACCTGGGCTCCTCCAACGATCCCAGAGACATGATGCTTCAGTCTGGAAAATTCTAGCAGGGGGAGGTGCACCTTCTGCCGTAGAACTGTGCCTTCCAGAAACAGTCAGATCCTACAGTCAGGCTTTAACTAGCAGTGATAATCATGCAATGCTAAGGGAGCAATGGTTACTGTCAAACTCTCTCTCTAAGAGCACTAGATGTGAGAGCTCACCCTTGCAAACCCACTTCCATTCCAAACCTCCCAATCCTTTACCCTCTGTTCAAGATAACAACCACTAGCATAGCACATAAAAATAAGGAAACTCTCCTCTAATTACTGTGGTTCACAGTTTTGGCACAATCTGCTACCAGGGGAATTTAACCACTCTCCCTTGGTTGCAATAAGTCCTATCGAACAGCTCCTACAGCTGTTGAGCTTTTCCATCTCATTAAGTGTCATGGCTCGACAATTAAATTCTAACCTGCAGCAATTTTAAGGCTGAAACATTAATCAACAGCTGAACTCTAGTATGTTTTTTTAAATCCTGCCATATGATGTTAACATTTCAGAACACACGCTGGTCATGAAAACAATGGGTATATATTAAGTTACCTTAAATAACCTAAAGACTTTTATGTACAAGCCTCTTTCATGGGTTCACTGAGTGATCTTGAGCAGGTCATTTGATAGCTCTGTGCCTCAGTTTCTCCCTCTGAGACACAGGGATAATACTGAGCACAACAGATGTGTTCTGAGGTTTAGTTAATTACTTGGTATAATGCAGACAGATGCTGAAATGAGAAGGTGCTCTATATTCAAGCTTTTGAACAATATTGTTTATGTGTTGTCGTCTGCTCAAAAACATTAAATATTTTGCAATAGGAGTGGGCTAGTATTTGGACCAAAAGGCTGAGAATAAAGGAGGGTCTTGGGATATAGTCTGGCTGGAGCAAGACTCAGCATCTGATCTTGGGCAAAGCTTTGTGTTTCAATCTGCCAAGCTGCAGATCTAGAAAAGGCAGAACCTTACAGAAAACAAGCTAGAGGCTTTGGAGGTTGAACTGTATTGGATAAATGCATTAAGAAAACAAGAACAGCACTTTATGTATAACTAGCATAAAATACAGGTTATTTTGCTCATTTTCTAATGTGATCAAACAGAACCTAGTGTTAAATATTCAAAACCTCCCTGTTTTCCACAGCCCACAGAGAAAAAGTGTCACAGAGACCTTGAATAGTAACAGGAACCACATCTGTTGCAAACACTTCATGCCTTCCTTATTTCTCTCAGAGGAAGTATGTGGCCTGTTTGGCAAGTGTCGTTCTACATGATAGGGTGAAGTTCACAACACTCTCATTTGGCTGGCTGCTTCTCGACCTGATCAGCTGCAGGCAACATGAAAACTCTATCATGCCTGCTCCTTTCGTGAAACATCCTGCCAAGTGGAATACCATGCTCAGCATTTAAAGGTAATCATTGCTCTAATGCTTTCAGGATAGCATTCTTTGCATACTGGGCCAAACCTTCCAGTCCTTATTCAAGCAAAAGGCAGTTTTGTCCCAGTAAACAGTGCAGGATTTGGACTTTAAATATAAAAAGCCATCAAAGAGAGAGATGCAAAAGGTCCATTGGATCCTCTAGTCCCTCTCCTTGCCGGTGTTTGTAAATGTGAAATGAGCGTGAATTATATATTTCTACTAAAAATCTTAAAATAAAATGAGAGAGACAGACAGACGGCCAATGGTGAAGCAAACGTTCACATGCGATAACCTATGAGAAACATCACAGATATAACAGCAGGTTCATTTTTTAAACTCAAATTGTCAGGGATTCGCAAATGAGATTTCTCTGTGTTTTGCATGGTATTTGGATTTCACCATTTGTGCAAACTAGTAAAATGTGTTGTTTCAAATGTATACATTATGGAATGAGGAGTGTGCTGAATAAAAGTGACACACTCCCCTTTGTTTCCCAAAGATGTGTGGGATTTAGCCATACACTTCCTATGATTAATTCTTTGCAAATGCAGGGGTTTAATAAGCAGTTAATGGAGAAAAAACACCCAGCATATTATAAATGACGAACCATGGAATTCCTCATTTGAAATGTGCTCGTTTGTAAGCAGCTTCCTTGGAGAACTGGGATTAGTCATGTTCTTGCTTTGGGCAATATCTCTTGGGCATTCTGAATATATCTTTGAACAATCTCTGGGAAAGCAGACTAGTTTAAGATATGCAACGCTAATCGAAGTACCCCAACATGACATTGTCTTTAAAATAAATATTCTGTGTGATAAAACTGAATGGTACATACATTTTGAGCCAAATTTAGATCCATTTCTGCAGGTGCAAATATTTGGTACAAAACTGTGCTCACAATTATTTGGGTCCACAAGACCCCAGTCCTTCAATGAGCTCTATATGGCCTGACCCCTGTGCCTATACGGATCCCTGTTGAAGTCCAAGGTGCTCTGTTTGGCCCCATACGCAGAACTCACTGCAGGATCGGGGTCGTAGCCCTTTAAATACCTGAGCTGTGGGTGAAATCAAGAAGCGAAATGCCAAAGCAACCTGAATTGTGCTTTCAGACAATTGTGGCTACAATTATTTGCAGATGTAAGGATGGTTATGGAGTTGGGACTGAAAATGCAGGTCTTACGGTGAAATTCAAACTTTCATTAGAGCCTGAGTAATTGGTCTCTGTGTGAGGAAAGCCACTCTTAGACCTGCAGACAGACTAAGTGGTGTCAACGCAGCACCTCAGTGGCTACCATGCCTATGGGTTGAAATAAGTTTAATATAAGAGTTTGAACATGTTATGAACAGGACTATCTGACAGGGTTGCCTACAATAGCAGGGAACTGGACTTGGTGACCCAGGAGGTCCTCCCAGTCCTGTTCCTAAACAGCAGCTCCAGCAACTTCACTTCTCTATGCAAGATATTGGCCCATTGGAACCATGTAAGCATAGCTTCTATAATCGCTCCTTAACCTACATCCAGTAGGGCTCTCTGTGCCACCTGTTTTGAGATGGGCATAGAAACCTGCCAACATGGCACACAGGGGATGGAACCCTGTGTGTTTGCTCTGCCCACATACCAAGCTTACACAGGGTTTACATGGTACATAATGCCTTGAGTAGACTCTCCACTCTTGGGTGAATTTCAGCTAAACAATTACAGTTTCATAGGCATTTAGTTAGATGACAGAGAATCTGCTCATCCATAAGGCCACAATATATGTTGCTATGCAATTTTCCACCTGTCTTCTAGTGGTGCATGTTATATGCAAAATTCAGGAAAAATTGCTTAGTTTATTGTATCTTGATGCAGTGCACTGTATGCAAATACACATTACTTATCTGCACAGTCCACTTATGTACTGAAGAACCATGTGTGCCACCCTTTATTTAGATGAATGAAATACTACATAAGGCTGCTACCCATATACTCTGGACTCCCTTGAACTTACTTAAAAATGCAACTTAAGAGCTATGGTACAATCCATGAGCAATTTGAAAACACAAACATGTCCCCCCTGAATGGCTCCCTTCCCATTTTCAAATGCCTGGGAGCAGGGCCGCCGAGAGCGGGTTCGGGCCCCGGTGAAAAATTTTTTTTCGGGCCCCCCAGCAAGGGTGGATTGGCTAAACAGGGCCGACGAGAGGGGGGGAAGCCGGGCCCTGGGCTCCCTTCCGGACTGCCGGGCCCCAGTAAGGCAATGGGGGGGGGGGGGGAGAAAGCCGGGCCCCGGGAATTTGTACCGGCTTTCCCCGCCCCCCCCCCCTTGTCGGCCCTGCCTGGGAGGAAAGACGAACTTTGGAACATGCCCTGAAGTGCATGAAATGTGCCGTTACTCTGGCAAACTATATTGTGTGCCAAATGAACTGAAGCCCAAAGGCTGCTCTTTGCACTTTGGATAAGTGAATTGTGGGAAAGAGTCGCAACTTTTCACTCACTTCCCAAATTATTTATTTATTTTAAACAACTGTCATTAGTGGCAGTGAAATTTAACATGGAAAATGTTACTGATATATTTTAAAAAGTAGCTGTGGTGACATAAAAACCCTAGCTATAATCGCTTGAATGCACAAAACTTTACATTCAGAACTTTTTAGTTTTCTAAAGGCCAGGTTCTGCCAACTTTAGCCTCACTGAGCAGTTACCTGACTATGTGAGTTGTCCCACTGATCTCAGAAGGGCTACTCATGGAATAATGTGACAACTAGGACAAATGGAAAGTACTATGTTAAGGGAGGAATAATCAATTGCACAATTACAAAATGGGAAATGACTGCCTAGGAAGAAGTACTGCACAAAAGGATCTAGAGGTTATAGTGGATGACAAACTAAATGAGAGTCAACAACATAATACTGCTGCAAAAAAAGAGAACATCATTCTGGGATGTATTAGCAGGACTGCTGTAAGCAAGACACGAGAAGTAATTCTTTCACTTTACTCAGCACTGATAAGGCCTCAACTGGAGTACTGTGTCCAGTTCTGAGCATCACATCTCAGGAGAGATGGGGACAAATTGGAGAGCGTCCAGGGGAGAGCAATAAAAATGATTAAAGGTCTAGAAAACATGACCGACGAGGAAAGATTGAGAAAACTGGGTTTGTTTAGTCTGGAGAAGAGAAGACTGAAGGAGGATATGATAACAGTCTTCAAATACGTAACAGGTTGTTATAAAACAGTGGTTGATAAATTGTTCTCCTTACCCAGAGTACAGGACATGAAGTAATGGGCTTAAACTGAAGCAAGGGAGATTTAGGTTAGACATTAGGAAAATTTTTCTGACTGTAAAGGTAGTTAAGCCCTGGTAGTTAATTATCTAGGGAGGCTGTGAAATCTCCATCTTTGGAGGTTTATTAAGAACAGGTTAGTTAAACCCCTGTCAGGGATGGTCTACATAATACTTAGAATCATAGAATATCAGGGTTGGAAGGGACCTCAGGAGGTCATCTAGTCCAACCCACTGCTCAAAGCAGGACCAATCCCCAACTAAATCAAACTAAGTTTTGCCTCAGTGCAGGGGACTGGACTAGAGGACATAGCAAGATCCCTTCCAGTCCTACATTTTTGCAATTCTAAGAAGGATGCAGAATCTGTCCATATGTTCTCTTAGTTTCAGGCAACTGTATGCTCTGCTAACATGCACATTACATTCAAGGAGATATATTTGTCGCTATGCACAAAAGTCTTACATACATCTCAAGTGAACAGTTTTCATTTCCAAAATTTGTAAATCTGAACATTCAAGAACACTCTGCATATTTTAACGTGGGTTTAAGCAATGTAACTCCCACTGAAGTGAATGGGAGTCATGAGACTAAAAAGTTTCATATATTTAAAGCTTTAGGGTAAATTTTTCATTAGGGTCTAAGTGATTTAGGAGTAGAGCTTGCCGGGAATTTTTTGACTTTTTTTTTTTGTTGGAAAATGCTGACTTGTCAAAACTGAAACTTTTAGTGAAAATGTGTCAATTTCAATGAAACTTTCACTGAGAAGGACTCTCAGGACCAGGATGGAATTTCTGGTCAAAATCTGAGCGAGAGATCGGAATTTCTGGTCAAAATGAGAGATTATCTAAATCTAGCCCATTGTGAGTATGGACAGCAGACTGTGGCCCCAAGATTTAAGGTGTCTTTGAAATACCTAACATAGACAAGATAGATGAAATCAGCTTTTTCTGCACAGTTCACAGACTGTTTGGTAAATAGAGTAGGCACTGTGCTATAGGATTTGGTTAGGGCCAATGCTGTCAGTTTCTCAGACTAGCAGCCGGAAAGAGATAAAAATCATCCGATTTTAGGTAATGGTGTCAGGACATTTTGTTTTGTTGCTATTTTAAACAAGCATTGCTTAGCTATTCTGACTGTGAAACTAGGCTATAACATAAGCCAACCTCTGACTAATGGTGGTTCTATTCTATTCAGTTCTAGATAGGTTCTTATACCAGGTCAGAAAGGAACTTTCTATATATAGTTTAGAACAGGAGTAGGCAACCTATGGCACGTGTGCCGAAGGCGGCACGCGAGCTGATTTTCAGTGGCACTCACACTGCCCGGGTCCTGGCCACCGGTCCGGGGGGCTCTGCATTTTAATTTAATTTTAAATGAAGCTTCATAAACATTTTAAAAACCTTATTTACTTTACATACAACAATAGTTTAGTTATATATTATAGACTTATAGAAAGACCTTCTAAAAACGTTAAAATGTATGACTGGCACGCGAAACCTTAAATTAGAGTGAATAAATGAAGACTCGGCACCCCACTTCTGAAAGGTTGCCGACCCCTAGTTTAGAAGGAACAAGTTCCATAGCTGCCCACTGCAATGTTTCATGCATCTTCCTCTTGAGCATTTTGTTCTGACAAGACAAGATACTGACTAGATGGACCCTGGTCTCATCCAGTTTGGCAATTCCTATATTACTATGGGACCTTTCAGGATCAGAAGATTTTTGAGCCATTCTTTTTTAAAAAAAAAAAATGTCTTTGAGCACCTACAGCAAGACCAGAATTGCGTCAAAAGGAAACTGCAACACAACTCTGCCTGTACTTGGTAATGAAACATCAAAGCCGACATTGACAACAGATACGTCAAGCTAATCAATTGCCTCATCACTTCAGAACTCCAAATGTTGAGAAGTACATACACTCAGAAATACATGAGTATATATTCACCGTTTTGCTGTGACTTCCTATTATGCTAAGGTAGCGGTAATGGAAACTTTTGCTATGTACAGTACTTCTTAGCAACTTCCCTAGTTGTGGTTTTCTGCTATTCCCCTGATAAAAGCACCAAAGTGGTGAGAGTTTAGCAAATAGATACTCAACTGCATGTAAAACATCAGCTTTCAAAAGCCAACTATATAAAAACCCGAGAGTCTGAAATTGGGTCATTTTTATGCATTGGCACAGCGAGTGCTATCCTGAGTCCTTTTTTATGTCTCCTTTGTTTTAGTTCTGAAGTGCATTGATGAAAATAAAGAGAGCAATGGGAAATACTATGAAAACAACAAGAGCCCCGGCAGAAATAAACGTGCCACCCCAAACTGGTAAGCACTTTTTAATTTCTTTGAGGAAAAAAGTTACTGCATTTTTATTCACTTATCTTACATTTGAAAAAGTATGCTTGAGTGTGCTATGCAAGACCAGAGGTGTACAGTATAAGGTGTTCACTTTTAAGCGAGTTAGAACTCATTCTTTAGGAGTCATTTTTAAAAAATATTTAAAAATATTGTTTTAAATGTTTTAAAAACAAACAATTGCCCTTCAGTAGCACTCTTTGTGATGAGCTTCTCACAATTCAGAAGGCCCAGATCTTCTCCATAAACAAGAAATTGCACATTTGGGGTGTTTCCTGTGCATGTTTTATAAAACCTATTCCCACATTTTGCTTTGCTCAGGTTTTGTTGGTTTTAATCCCAATCTGGGAACCCTAATAATAATAATTCTGCACTCACACTGATCATTTCAAACATTTGCACCAAAACTAACATGCAGCCAACTTTTCATGCTGCTAAAAGTTATATGAAGCAATGACACATTTCAAGGACGGCAGCTACCAAAGGGGGTGGGGCGGGGGCTAGGTTGTCAACTGGCCCTATGTAGACACACAGGGGAAAAAATGTATAAGGCCTCCCACTATGCAACCTGGATTGTGATTCCGGGTGGCAAGGGGAAGAGACTCATGGCATTAATACTCACCACCACAAGAAAGTAGGTGAGGAATGGGCAGAGCTCACATGCCACAATGTGCTGGCCAGCTGGCACAAGGGGGAAGTAAGCTAGTCTTATAAAGGGATGCAGAAAATTACTCCCCTCCAGGTGCAAGAAGAGACTAGGGGAACAAATATGACTCTGAGTCATAGTTCTTTCCCAGGGCTTCTCCGAGGATGGCCCAACTATGTGCTAGCCCTTCCTCAGGGCAAGGGATCAATCTGGCCATGAGGGGCAGAAACTCCAGCACTATTTTTAGCACGAGCCAAGAACGAGCACTTCTATATTATCGACGTTTCAGGAAGCTGAGCAGCTCGGGGATTGATAATGGCATAAGGAGGAAGGTCCCCAGTTCAAATCCAGTTTAGACTGATATTTACTGAAAGCGGTTACTGTCAGATGGCTGGGTTTGTGGTCTGTGTGAAATGAGGTGACAGTCTCAATCCAGTTCTTTGCAGAGGTGTCCAACTTCCATTCAGTGCCCTTGTTGGTCTTCCCAACAGAAAGCAAGAACTGAATGGCCTTGAAAACTGACCTATTCTTTCTCTCATAATCATGGTCCCTTCGGGCTGCCATTGGGGAACACTGAATGGGTAGGGCGGTGAAGTTTGCATTGTTGCTGATCATGCTGTACTTGTTCTGTGGATACACCCAGGATTTTAGGGCTTGATCCAATGCCCCTGGAAGTCAACAGCATTCTTTCCATTGACTGAAACAGGCATTGGACCAGGCCCTTCGTCTCTATGGCTGTCAATCTAGCATCTTTCAGACCATAAACTCACATTGCCAAATACTGAATTTCTCCCTCAGTCGGTGTTTTAATGGAGTAAGGGTTTCAGGATTCGGTCCACAGTTTTATAACATTTTAAATAGTTTGGAAAAAATTGTTTCATCCTGGCTCATTTCAACAAGACATCGGCGATGCTGAAACTGAAGGAATGAAACAGAAGGGTAAAGGAAAGAACACAGAAGAGGAAGGAAAGGCAAAGTGAACTGTTACTTTGAGTCTGACTAGCTGTTCTGTAGTGATAACCTTTGTCGTCTGATCATTAGTTTTCCCTCCCATTCAGACCTGCACTCAGGTCATACCCCTACTTTTCCCCTCCGCCTCCAGTTTTAGTGCTGCTCAATGCACAGACAACAGAGGATCTTGTATGTTAAGCACAGCACTAAGCTAGGGGTATTGCATAAGTGGCACTACTCCAGCAGGCACCTCTGAGTCACAATTCTTCCTCTGCTTCCTCCAGCCTATACCAGCAGGATGTTGCCAGTTGAGCTGTGCCAGCCAGAGAGCAAGGGTGTGGGACCAGAGATGCCAAACCCGCGAAAAAACACAGAAATTTGGCTTGGTTTTGGCTTAATTGGCTTGTGAGTTGCTTGTTGACTAGTTTTTGGCTTCAGCTTGTTGCCTTCTTTTTTTTGATCGGCTCCCAGCAAGCAGGGGCAAGGGGGGAGTGAGTCCCAGACTGCACGCCAGGGGGATCTAGTCACATAGAGCGTTGGGGTGCTTAGGGATTGGCTTGTTTTGGCCTTGTTTTGAAATGGGATTAGCTTGATTTTTGGCTTATTGTGAAAGTCGGGGTGCTTATTTACCACGTGAAAGTTGGCAACTGTGTGAGAGACCCGGGCTTTGCCCATTCTTTGCCCCTTCCTGCCCACTTACTCCAGGGAGGGAATCAGCTGGTGTGTAGGTAGCCCAGTGTCTAGGTAGCCAATGCACGGGTGTTATGGGTATTATGCCCCCTTACTTCCGTATAGGGGTGCATAGTCCAAGTCACAAGATAGCCCTTATTGAGCAGGGTAAGGATATGTGTATGCTTATGAAATAAGTCTCTCAGCCTGGGACCACTCGTGCTAGTGGGGCTTGGGCTAGTCTGCTAAAAATAGCAATGTAGCCGTTGCAGAATTGGCCAAGCCTTGGGCTAGCCATCCAAGCTCGGAACCAAGGGCTCGGGTGGATCCGAGCTTGCATGACCAACCAAAGCTGGTGCCACAACATCCGGACAACTATTTCTAGTGCGCTCCCTCGAGCCCCGATAGCATGAATCCATTTACCCGGCCTAGGAGGCTCACTTCCAGCTACAGTATAGACGTAACCTAAAGTAGTTCATCTTTAGCTTCATGCCTCGCAAGACACCTCGGGGATATAGGTTTCTAAAACAACCATGCACCATGTATTCGGGCATAAATACTGTCGACAGATCACCTGATTCAGTGGAAATAACTGTTCTTAGATTTTTCCTTTGTAACTGTTGGACTGTTCCATTTTAGAGATGTCTTATATAACTAATAAACTGCTAAAGAAAGGATGGGTTCAGAAACCTCACTCAGGTTTCAGTTTGACATAATCAGAAGCTTTTTGGGTGGGGCTGGGCCAAATGTATCAAATCCCTTCAGAGCTTGGATTAGGGGCAGAAACATGGGTTGTATGGTCCCTGCACTGAAATACCAGTATTTGAATTAGCCACCGGCAAACCTGAGAGTGATTTTCGGTTTTGCAAAACCAAAACCCAGGAAGGTTTGGATCCAGATTTCATTTTAAATGGAACCCCAATGTTCGTGAAGTAGGGGGGACTGCTGGGGGGGCTCAGATAAATTAGGTTATTTTGTACCATCTCTAGTGTAAACACAGGCACTTTAAAAGGATGTAGCTGGTGGCCAGTTCAGAACTAGCAAATTAATGTGCAAAATTGAAACAAAAACAGAAGATAAAAGTGTATGTCAAATAATTACAGATCCTGCAGCCTAGAAACAAAGTAACACATCCACTGATGCATAGCAGAATGCAAGCCACCATGTAAGCAAGCGAGAAGGGCTGATAAGAACAGTTAGTTTTCCACTACATATCTCAGTATGGAAACTAAACCTTGCATAAATAGCTTCATGCTTTTAAAATCTGATGCTAAGATACTTTCATAAAATGCGACCAGTTTAAGCAAATGCCATTTCATTGAGAACTGTCGCTTGCCACTTTGCTTTGGTAATTCAGGGAAGCGGCGTGCATTTTTCAGTGTGTTTTTCCCTATCATTTATCTCCTTGCATTTATTTCTCCGCCATTCCTGAGGAGGATTCTACATTATGCACTATGTACACTAAGTCAGGTCTAGTCAGACTAAAGTACAAGGCAGCCTTTCGCGGACATAGGGATTTGTGAACTTCTGTTGCATAACAGAAAGGTAATTTGAGGCCCATTCGTCTCTTAGAATCTTTTTAAAACTATACAATATATCAAGCATACGACACTAGGCTAAAACCTGGGAGCTGCTCCAAGAGCACATCCTGGGAAACCCACCCCACTTAACTCACTGGCACGGGTCAGGTGAGAAGCTGCTGACACCATTTACACACATGCAACATGTTGATCAATTAATTCCTCCTTTAGCCCTTGATTCTGCAAGTCCCTGTGCAGAAGGATCCTTGCGCAGAACCTAAGGTTATCCTTAAGAAACCTTACTGCTCCTAACTGCCTAACAGGGCTACTTCCAAGCATGAGGGTTTACAGGGCCGAACTCTTATAGAACGGCAGTCTGTCCTGCACTGAAGCACCCCCTAAATATATCCACTAAACAGATCATCTCTTCCCTGGGCTCTGGTGTGAGAACAAGCATCCATCCAAAACTGATGTAGAAATTATTGATTTTTTTACATTTTTTTCAATTATTTTCATTCCAGCAAGGTACCCCACCTATCAGCCTCAGTAATATAAGAATAAGAATAACCTCTCTCAGCTCCTTCAACTCCCTCTTCCTCAAAGCCCACTACGTTTGGTTCGCCTTCCGTTAATATTATTAAGTAATAACAATTATAATTATTAATATTAATAATCATTATTATGAAGGATTATTTGTAGCGTGGTATTGCCAACCCAACTCCCTCCAGGCCTTCGTTCCTGATGCTGGCCCCAGATTTGAATAAATTGTGTGGGTTTAAAATGATCTACAGAGGAATTAGAAAGAAACAGACCTAGCAGGAAGTATGTGTGTGCACGCAGGCGTGTGTGCGTGCGAGCGCACACTCTTGTGACCTTTCTGCTCCACTCCCGTAATGCACTTTGTTTCTTATAAGCCCTTTCTATGCTAAGTTGAACTGAGACAGCAAGCGCCACGCAGGCCTGGGAGCTGACTCTGTCGTCCTTAAATAAAGGATATTGTCATATCACATTATTTGAAAATATGGTCAGTAGTTGTAACTTACACTGGGTCACAAATTGTCCTTGCCAGTCCAGCAGAGGCTCCTATGGCCCAGGTGGGAGGAGGGGAGCAGGTAGTGTTTGTACCACCATCACCCTCGCCAGCTATTTTGCTGAAGAGCAATTTTAAACTACCACCAGGGCTCCAATGGAAGCCACAATGTACCATGCCGCTCTCTCCCCATCTATTAGTGCTTTTCTGGCTGGCTCCAGACCCCTCAGTGGAGGAAGGGCTGCAGTTGCCTTCCACTGTCACAACCTTCCTCCATGCAGAATTTCCACCACTAAGGAAACCTGCACTCTGGGGTACGCTGGAAGAAGCCAGCGCATCAAGCCCCACATCTGCACTGCATGCAGAAAGATCCCCATTAAGAGTTCGACCCTAGGAAGCCCTGAGCAGCCTCTCATTGGGAGTTGTAGAAGCTCGGTACATATTGGGTTCAGCCCTATAAAGATGTGAACACTTGCAGAGTGTAACTTCAGTTCCTGCAGCTTTATTCGCAGTGCAATTCTGGTCTGGTGCAGGACGTTCCTCCCAAACTTCCTCCTTTCTGACCTCAGTTCTCAGAAAGACATTTGTACATGAATGAGCAAACCACACAAATTTACTTTTCCTTTTTTTTTTTAAATGAAAAAGCCTCTGTCTTCCATTCCCAAGACAGCTGCAGTGTGGGGGTAGGAGCGCCATGCATCCCATTAGTCACCCAGTCTAGTAACAAACCATAAACATAATAGGAAGGAGACATTGATTTTCTGGTTTCCTATTATTTTATGAAAAGTTCCCCCTCTTACTACACTTAAGGAATCTATTTTTGTACCTTTGAAAATATCAGTAAAGACGTATAATGCAATGAAAGATGCCTTTATCTAATATAATGTACCTGATCATCAGCATTACTTATATTGTAATTTAAGCCATTCATGCATGATGGTGTTATTCAACTGAGGCCATTTCCTAATACTATGCATATTTATTCATTTTGCTACTTTCAGACTGAGTCTCTTCTTTGCATATGGTAAGTATTAAACAAGGTCAGTCTGCAGAAGCTTTTGGCTAACTAGAAGTAAAGAAAGATCTACAAACTTACAGGTGCTCGTATTTACAGTGTTGTACAGTAGGCGTTGAGGGTGACTTTCTGAAGACATCCACCCAAGCTATGAATTTTATAATCCTTTAAAAATGACATTTTCATCTTTTTCCTAGGTCAGGAGAGCGATATCCTTGCTGTCCTCTGTGATTATCCCTCCCCGGATATAAGCCAGCCAATATTTCACACAGGAGAGAAACTACGTGTGATATCAGAGTAAGTTGTTCCTTTTTACATTAGCCCCCGATACAGCTGATGTGAGATAGGGAACAGCTTCTGGTTTAGTCATTTGAGGCTAGATGAACGCTGTGGTTTTTGTTTCTATTGAACAGGAGACTATTCAAGGCCTGTTGTTGCTGGGAAAGCATCTTATTGCTCAATGTGCAGTCCCAGATGGAGCGCTTCCTTTCAGGCACGCACATAGGGCTCGATTCTGCGAGTGCTTAACTCCCACTGGTAACGCAGGCCACCCAGCACCTCACAGGATTGAGCGATAGGAAATTCCAGGTGCTAAGTCAACGTACAGGGCCCAGTTCTAAAACGTGGACTCATCCTGCATGATATAAAATGGGATTACTTGCACGAGACTGATTCAGCTTTGGATAGGCATTTGAGTACTTAACCAAACTGAACCAATTTTAGAGTTGGAAAGGAAAAAATACTTTATCCTTATCCAAAATTTTCACGTAGGTTGAGGGTCTTTGGACTTTAGACTCCTGTTTGGACTCTCAGATAGAGATTACCCTGAGCCATGAATTTCAGATTGGGATCCAGATCACTTTCTCAGAGTTCTGAGGGATGCAGAGTTGGAGGTCCCATTCCGACCCTTCTCTAGTGTATTACAGACAGTTAGCCCCCTACACAAAGACATTATACAGAGCTAGATCCTCAGCTGGAGTAAACTGAAGTCAATAGCCCTGATGATCTGCTATGTCCATGTTTCGGAAGTAGTGGAGAGCGGCAACCAGAGGAAGTTGGCTGTGGCTCCTTGATCTTTGTCCACCCGGTCCTGACAAAAATTAGAGAAGTAACCAGTGTCCTCTAACTTTCATGAGTGGTACAAAGGACCTTACAACAGTGGAGGATCTGGGTCATGGTGCTCTGTCAACCATCCCCCCGCCACCCCAGATGTCCCATAAGGAGAAGGGCATATCAGGGGAGGGACCCTGGCATAGCAGGTGGAAGAGCTTCCACCAGCTTTCTGATGCTAGAATGTTTCCCTACGCAAAGGCAATTCTCCACCATTGTGTAAATGGTGCTAAATGGTCTTAGCAGACTAGAGATTCCAGCCCAAAATATCTATGCTGATTTAGAACAGCTAAGGTTTCTCTCTCTCTCTCTCTCTCTCTCTATATATATATATATAGAGAGAGAGAGAGACACGTTCTGTACATATGCTGCATATACTATATAGTACAGTCTAATTGTTAATATGGAACTTTGAAAACGAGATACATGTAGCACATATTTTTGTTTGTATGTTTGTCTGTTATGTACTGATCAACAAGTGCTGAAGTAAGCATTACATGAAAAGTTCTCTTCCTGTTTTGATTCAGCTATAGCGCAGAAAAAAACCTTGCAATGTTCTATGCAAGTAGGCACAACTCTCCTAAACAGAGGGTCTATTCTCCCCACTGGGGTATGTGTGGATGTTAATGGGAACTATGGGTAGGCATACACTAGCAGGAGGTACAGTCTCTCTCAGGTCACTCGAGAAACACACCACTCCGAGAAAGAAAAGGAGAGATGCTAGGTTGGTTAGAGCAGCAGTGATAGGAGAGCTGCCATGTCAAACGCAACCTTTCTATGCTGCACACATTGCTCCTGTTGTGTTATTTTTCTAAGCCTTTTATTCAAACAACTATGAGACAGTTCACAAGGAATAATGCTGAAATTACCACACTCACTTGGGACTCAAAACATTGCTGGTAATCATCTGCATGAGTCAGGGCGGCAACACAAAACACAGAATCTACTCAGAATAGATTACCTGTAATGGTCACTAGTACCTGGAGACGGTTAACAGTGTTAGGTAAGCAGTGCCAGGTTAGCCCCTGTGAAGATATAATGAATAACATTCAACGGAGGTCAGAGGCCAGCAGTTGACTTACTGGCTGGCTGATTAGCCTTGCCCACTGCACCTGGGAAAAGACCTCCAGCTTAACTGGCTGATCCTCATCAAAGGAGAAGCAGGAAATGGAGGTAGGGCACTGCCGTACCTCCCGGAGGCTGGAGCTACTGCTGGGAGGAACTGCTCCCAGAAACAAAAGTGGACAGAAGGGAGACTGCGAGAAATCCTATTATCAAAAGGCTCTGAGGTAAGAGCCAGGAACTTATCCGGGGGTGAGGGAAAGATTTGTTTGCTGAGGAGACTGGAAAAAAAAAAAAAGAGAGAGAAGAAAGCACAACAACTGAGTGCTAGAAACTACCTTCCTTGGATTGGGTGAGAAGGTTCCAGGCAGAATTCCCCCAGGGACAGAACTGGCTCATGAAGAGCAAGCTGGGGTCCAGTTGGAAAAGTGCGCTATGAGACAGGCCCCAACCTCTTAGAGTCTCTCACAGTCTGCTCACTCCCTGGACGTCATTCATTAGGGGCAGAGTTAACTCAGGAAGGAGGTCCGAGTTTGGATAAAAGAAGAAATAGGAGTCTTTGCTCAGGAGAGACTTTTTTTCTGGGCAAGGTTTTGAGACTGAGGAGGTATCTTTTAATTATTCTTCCGAGAATATGTGAAAATACCACCAGCAAAGTTATTCTCGTGGTATGTTTTACCTCAAATGGAAACAGGAAATCCCACAGATTTCGCACACGCAGTAGCACTTTAGTGAACATGCTGTACGCCAACGGAAGAGCTTCGCCTGTCATCGTAGTTAATCCACCTCCCTGAGAGGCAATAGCTATGTTAACGCGAGACGTCTCCCACCGACATAGAGCTGTTGACACGGCGGGATAGGTTGGTATAACTACATCGCTCATGGATGTGGATTTTTCAACCCCCTGAGCAACGTAGTTATACTGATATGGGTTGGTAGTGTAGACCTGGCCTAAGTGATTTGCCTAACGTCAGAAATAAAGTTTGATGAAGAGCCAGGAAAAGAACCCAGGTGTCTTGACTCCCAGTTCTATGCTTCAGCCACCAGGCCGTCCTATGCATTAGTGCCTGATCTGCAGTTCATTGAAGTAAATGAAAAGATTCCCATTGACAACAATGGGCTGTAAATCAGTCCTATTAGACTGCAAATCTAATCTCCAACTAGACTTTACGAATGCTCTGTTTCTAACTGTAATAAAGATGTTCAATATCAGAAACTTATTCTTGACTACAGGAATAGGTTTCACTACTTAAGCAGCAAATGGAACAAATATTTATTGTTTAATATTTAGCTTATTTCTGTGGACAATTTAAACAATAATGTAGCAAACAGTGAGATTTAGAAGATGAAATAATGTTAACAAAAAAAACGTAGATCTATGCGTGTGTTTCTGAATACTCAGATTAGTTAACAAATACTGCATTTTAGCCCATTTTCTGCTTTAGCATGTTTCTAAAATGAAAGCAGGCTCTCCAAACGTATTTGACCATACCCACCTTCTTGCTTTGACAGTGAAGGAGGTTGGTGGAGAGTCCATTCCCTCACTACCGGTCGAGAAAACTATATTCCAGGAAAATGCGTAGCAAAAGTTTACCATGGGTGAGTACATGCTTTCTCCACAGCATTCCAAAACTACAGGTGCTGTTATTTCACACATACCATAGTTTATAGGATCAACTTTTCATCCTTAATTAGGGGCCCTAAGTACTATCATAATCCAAATAATATAATATAAATAAATGGAGATATCCTATCTCCTAGAACTGGAAAGGACCTTGAAAGGTCATCAAGTCCAGCCCCCTGCCTTCACTAGCAGGACCAAGTACTGATTTTTGCCCCAGATCCCTAAGTGGTCCCCTCAAGGATTGAACTCACAACCCTGGGTTTAGCAGGCTAATGCTCAAACCACTGAGCTATCCCTCCCCCCTAATAACAACCACTAACACCACCACCACCAGCACCAGCCTGCTAGAAAAATCTATGTCAAGCAGAGATGACCTGAATTAAATATCTACATCTGAATTCCTTTGAACTTTGGGGATATTTCAATCCAGATCTAAATTTAGCAGCTGTTTTTATCAAAGCAAAACTCCAGTTTCAAACACCCAGAATCTTCTGATCCACTTCTGGATCCAAGCTGTGAGCTTTGGGCCCATCTCTAATTTTAAGACACTGATAAAAAGATCCAACTTATAAGAACTGGGGTGAAATTCACTGCTACGCACAAGGCCTATGCACTATTTAAGTCTCAATTAAGATAATGTGGTGGCCTGAGTGGGTCCCTGGGCTGGTCTTCTGCATAGGGGTGAATTCCCCCCGGTGAGGGAAAACTCAGTCTGAGACAAAACTGGAGTTTGTGTGAAAAACAGACCAACTAGAACAAAAGGGGAACTTCAAAAGGCTAATGAGATCATTCAAGAATGGAATCCCTGCACATTAAAATAGATACTGAAGGTTCAGAAGTCAGTTACTGCCCTCAGCCCCAACTGAGGAAATCCATTAAAGCATCTGCTTAAGTCTGTCACTATTCAGCAAAGCATTTTACCCGCTTAACTTTAGGCAAGTCCTTAAATTCTAAGGACTTCAATGGGAATTAGCCCTTGCTTATAGCTAAGCATGTGCTTAAGTCTCCTACTGAAGGTATCAGATACCTGACAGTAGGTGGTAGAGAAAATCAGCATGCCTGGTTCTACTCTCCCACCGGTAAAGCCCATTGAATTAAGACTGGTGTAAAACCAGAGTAAAGTGAGATCAGAATCTGGCCTAGCATATGCAGAATAATTACACCTCTGTCCCTGGATTAATAAATGTGGGTAACGACTCACAACAAGAAAAGGTTTAGTTATTTAAACTCAGTGACTTTTTTTAACACCAGTAAATGTTAGTGTTTCAAATTAATTGAGCTTGAAGGGTTTTGCCCTCTCTTATAGGGCCATTCTTAACGAAATTACTGGCATGAGTGAGAAGAGCAAGATTTGCCCCATAAACTGAGGAAATAATCCTGGGAATAGTTAAGAAAGCAACAGCAGAAGTTTACAGTGTCATTTTTGCAGTCCTTTTCTAGCTAGTCCTGCACTTTAAGGGCCATACGCTGCTCTCTCTCTCAGCCATGTCATTCTAGAACTTCTTTTCCTGTTTCACAGCTGGTTATTTGAAGGGCTGGGAAGAGAAAAAGCAGAGGAACTTCTACAGCTTCCCGACACCAAGGTTGGCTCCTTCATGATTAGAGAGAGCGAAACTAGGAAAGGTGAGAAAACATAACATTCCTCCCCACCCTGAATCTCAGACTGCGGCATCTCCTTTCAACTGGGCTTTCCATAGCTCTTAATTCTCTGCCTTTTTCACTGCACACACATCCGGCCAGAATTCTAAACCATAGGTAATAAAAAAATAACATACTGCACAGTGCAACATCTTCAACAATCACCTACATAACAAGCGGTGCTGGAAACATGGAAAACCACGGCTTTGGAGAGTTCCCTAATCACTGGCAATACAAAACATTATTTAAACACTGTTTATTTGGGTGGTAGCACCCAAAATGCTCCAAGGTCCCAAGCCATTTCAAACAGAGAGGAAGACCCAAAGGATGGGTAAAAGGGTCCCAGCCTTTGACTCAGTCCACAAAAAATACACAAAAGGTGGGGGTGGGGGTGGAAAGGAACGTAAAATACATAAAAAGTAACCAAACATATTTCCTATTTAGTTGTGTGGTTGTTTTGTTTTAAACTAAACACTTGGAATTTTCTTCTGACCACCCTTCCACCGCCAAAAAAAAAAAAAAAAAAAGGAGATATACCTATCTCGTAGTGCTGGAAGGGACCTGGTCATGGAGTCCAGTCCACTGCCTTCACAGTAGGACCAATTTTTGCCCCAGATCTCTAAATGGCCCACTCAAGGATTGAACTCACAACCCTGGGTTTAGCAGGCCAATGGCTCAAACCACTGAGCTATCCCTCCCCCTGACTGGCTGGTCAGAAAATGGGCTCCTCCCCTAAGGAAAATTTTAACTTTTTGTCAAAAAATCAAAACCTAAAATATTTCAGACAAAACCCAAAAAACATTGATTTGGGTGGTGCCTCAGGGGAGCTGTTATGTGGGTATCTCATACCCTCATTCTCCTCTGTAGGCTCGGATCCCTGGCTGCAGGGCCGGCTCCAGGCACCAGGCAACCAAGCTGGTGCTTGGGGCGGCACCTGCAGGGGGGCGGCGCGGCGCTCCGGCCGCCGGGGAGAGCGGAGCCCCCGCCGGGGCTCGCCGCCCTCTCCCCGGGGCTCCGGCCGCCCTCCCCCCCGGCGCCGGGGGGAGAGCGGAGCCCCCGCCGGGGCTCGCCGCCCTCGCGCGGCGAGGGCGGCGCGGGAGGCTTTTTTGCCTGGGGCAGCAAAAAAGCCAGAGCCGGCCCTGCCTGGCTGGACTACATCTGCACAATGGTCTCCTCTCTTGTTGAGCAATGCATGTTGGTGGCCCTGACCATAGTATTTCATGGGAGATATAATCTGGCTAGGGAGCACAATTTTTCAGTTTTTGTGTGTGTGTTTTTGACAAACCATCAGAGTTTTTCCTCGGAAAGCAGACTCTTCATGAAAAATTTTGACAGTAAATTAGGTTTTTGACAAAACAAAACACTTTTTGGAAATTTTTCATCCAGCCTGAATTTAAATCCCCTCACAGCAATTCCCAGCTTCAGTTCTAATGAGTGTACTCTTCCTTCCTAACATTTGGTCCCTTCCCACCTCACTTATAAATTAGATAGGAACACAAAGCGCATTCATTTTACAAACACATAGAAGTTTCACGCCCAGAGGGAAGGACGGTGAACAAACGTTACTGAGTCACCTTGCATATTTTTAACTTTGCTAGGTGCAGGATGATGAGCACAGTATAAGAACATGAATAGAATAGGGCCCCCTCTGGCCTGTTAAGGAATGGTATTAATGGGTTTCAAAGGGAGTGTCCATAGTAGTCCTGCCCACATGGCTCCGATATGGGGCTTCCAAAAATTGCAGGGTGCAGAATTAAATGGGAAAAGATCCTCAGAGCTCCAGGGAAAGACAGCAAGGGGAAGAAATTAAATAAAAAACAAACAGGTGAGGATTTTCAAAAGTTCCTAAGGAATCTAAGTGCCCAGCATCTAACCCCTTTGGGCCCTTTTGAAAATCCTACCAACAAGCTTCAAGGAAAAATTGTTGGAGCTTTAGAGTAACTCACCATCAGGGATTTAGGGCTATAATCACCGACCCTCTGCTCTATCTGTCTCTATTTGAGATCTTTAAATCAGAAAGGTCATTTAGCTTTTTCAGATTCTTCGAGGGCACACCTGTTACTGTGGCACCACATTTCAGAGCTGGTCTGACTTTAGTCAGCAGCCACAGAGGTCTGTGAAATGCGCCTTTGTTTTCCTAGGATTGTGACTACTTGAGGTCATTTGGTTCTCCTGTTTCTGCAGGATTATATTCATTGTCAGTCCGGCACAGGCAAGTGAAACATTATAGGATCTTCCGCTTGCCGAATAACTGGTATTACATCTCTCCACGGCAAACATTTCAGTGCCTTGAGGACCTTGTGAATCACTATTCAGGTAAGTCCCTTGGGACTTGTAACTGCAGGAACACAATATGTTTCACCAGCAATGGTAAAATATCATGCAGTGCATGGCCCAGGGGAGTCCTGGGACCTGACTGGGGATCTTAGGTGTTACTGTAGTACAAAATAAATAATAATACTAATGATTAATAATAGAGAAATTTGGCTTCTGCCCACTGTACTTTTTTTACTTCACTTCCCACCCCCTCAATTCTTATCTCCCACGGCATTCCTCCACTATTAATCCAGCAGAAAGAAAGACTACAGCTCAGCTGAGTACAGGCAGTACAGATAGACAAAGCCATGTTAAATGAAACCAGCCTCTGATATGGTTACAGCTACCATTGTTCAATGTAGCGTCACAACAGCATTTTCCCCCCTGGAATGATGTGCCAACTGTATTAGCTTCTTCACACCTATCATACTACACAACCTTGTTTGTATCAGTGCGTGCTGGGAAAATTAGTCAGTTACTCTGTTATTGCCTTAGCTGCTTCGTTCTGGATTTGTATTAGTGCAGCTCAGAGCAAATATGGCCTAAGACCTCAAAGTTTATGTAATCATTATGGACTAAATTCTGATCTCAGTTATACTGATGTCAGTCCAGAGAAACTACACTGGTTTTAATGGAGTTACTCCAGATTTATGTCAGTACAACTCAGATCAGAAAGTAGTCTTATATTAAATACCATAGTTAAGTAAGTGCTGCAATGACATCATATGAAAACCAGAAAGGTTTAAAATGAAAGAGGAAGAAGGTTTGGAATAAACTAATCACACCGTACTTGTGAAGAATAAATGGTTCTAGTCTTTCAATTAATAACAACAATGAAATCATTTAAAAGGTGTGAAGCCACAATATTTGCATAATGCTGGCCAAATTGAAATACTGTGTGTAGGCCAAAAAGCCTACTTTTAAGTAAGGAAGGAAAATGTTCTGTTTAATAACTTGTATGTTGATGTAGTAATATGATAAAAGGAGTTTTTTAGACCAGCTTGTGGAAAGAAGCAGTAATAAACTTGACAGGATACTAATCTCTTTTCTGAAATGTTTTAGTTAGTTGATTTTTCCCTTTAAAAAAAAAAAGTATTTCTGTCAAGGAAGGACATGAGAATCTGAAACTTTATAATCCACAACATCTGGATGACGATGATCAACATTTTGTCTCTGAATGACTTTCCCCTCTCTGAGAATATGCAAAATTGATAGTGAAATAAGTGTATGGGAAAAAAAACCCAGAATTTACCAATTACATGGTGCTATTCATTAGCACAGGTTAGAGCAGTCAAGGGGCAGCTCTACTTTGTACATTGGAATATTTTACAAGTGTTCATAGTGGTGAACATGTGTTGATGCTTTTGTTGGGTAAGTTACACATGATGAACCTGATTGTCTGCTGCTTTGTCTTTTGTATAGTCATGTACTGCAGTGCAGAGTGAGAGTAGAGTAGGTGGAAGTACTACTCAGTCAGAATAGTGGCATTTTACATCCATGTTGTGCCCCAATGGTTAGTTCACTGGCCTAGGGTCAGGAAGACCAAGGTTCAAATCCCTGCTCTACTAAAAAAAATTTTTGTGACATTGGGGAAGTCAGTCTCTCTATGCCTCAGTTGCCCACCTATGAAAGGGGGATAATAGTCCTTCCCTTCCCACAAAGGCTTTGGGAGGATATATGCATTAACGATGATGAGGTGTAAGATAATGGATGCCATACAAATACCTCAATTAGGTGTAAGTGACTATGCAAGAGGCAAGGCAGTGCAAAATCTGGCTCTATTTCTCCAAATCAACACCCCTCTTTTGTCTGATATACCCAATCAGAGTCCACATTCTTCTGCATAACCTCAACAAGCTATGTGATACAGGGTGCTCCTGAATACCAACGCTTTAACAATATAACTAAATGAAAAGCCTCATTATACATGTTTAAACTGTGCTAGAATCCTGGATGTGCTCATCTCAAACAGGAATCTAATTAGGAATAGAACTAAGCTTCTCAAGAACACGGCATCATTATCAACTTGCAATGTGTATATTTCAATCCATTCTGGCCCCACCCACTTTACTGCACCAATATTCCCTCTAATGTTTTACATCCGTGTGCGGAATGAATTTTGTTACGTGCAGCAATATGGAGGTGATGTGTGGTGCGGGTGGGGCCGAGGAGTTCAGAGTGTGGGAGGGGGATCAGGGCTCAGGCAAAGGGTTGGGTACAGGGGGTGAGGGCTCTGGGTTGGGGCCAAGGATGAGGGGTTCGGGATGCAGGAGGGGGATCAGGGCTGGGGCGGGGAGAGAGGACTTCCCCCAGTCCTCCCTCACCACAGCAGCTCAGGGCTGAGTGAGAGGCACCTCTCCTGGGCTGCAGCTCTGGCAGACCTGGGCTGGGCCAGGGCAGGGGCTCTCTCCCCAGCAGCTCTGGCAGGGTGGGGCAGGGCAGGGCTGGGCCCAGGCGGGGGTGGGGCTCCTCTCCCCAGCAGCTCCAATGGGGCTAGGCCGGGGGAGGGGTGCCTCTTCCCAGCTGCGTGGCTCTTGATAGCCTGCTGAATGACCGTGCAGTTTACAGGGAACTTAGCTGCATACCATCATTGCCACAAATAGATCTGATTTTTACTCACTATGGCTGATATTCACCGTGAGCCCAAAGCCAGCACAAAGTTCAACTATTCTCAAAATGGGGCTTAGGTGGGAGATACGTCGTGCGCAGGCCTCGTATGGCCTTATGCTCAGGGGTGTTATCATTACCAGAAAGGGTGTGGTTAGCTCTAGAAAGTCTGATGTCCTCAGCAGTTACACTGAAGTTATAGCAATGTAAAAACTGTGGTAAGCAATTAGGCCCAAACATAAGTACCAGCATGTTACAATAAAAAGCCTAGTAACAAAGAACAAAACCACCTAACACAGTATGCCATAATGCAATTCAACAATTGTATGCCACAGTGTCCAGCGTCTAAATGACTATCCTACTTACCACACACACATCTCCAAGAACGTTTAGTGGAGAAAACATTGGTGCTAGAAAATGAGACACTATTGGGCAATATTGGATAACTCATCCGGTATTGGTTTCTTCATTCAGAGGTACCTGATGGTCTGTGCTGTGTCCTTACAACACCCTGTCTTGCTCAGTGCACTAACAACAATGCAGTGAGGAACCAAGAACCGCCTGTGGTGATGAGGAACAAAAATTTCAACTGGAAAAACATTCACAGGTACCACATCTTCCATACAGCATCTGAGTCTACATGCTAAATATATACTTGCAATTACAGAAAATAAGAAGAAGCTATTCACTTCTGCTGAGGTCAATATTAAGGCTTAAGGCTGAAATTTCCCAAGCCACTGAGGGCTTTGTAACAGGGGAATGGGGCATCCAAATCTCTCAGGTGACTGAACATTTCAGTCTAAGTGTTCACTTATGCAAATTTTGGTGCATTTAACTACCTCCACAGATTCTTACTGGCAGATATGGGGCTGCTATGGGTAATGTGGTTGACAATGAAGTCTGCCAAGGATATTCCCCCAATAAAGATATACACACACAGATTACACCGGCTGAGAATCTGGCCTACTATATCTAAGAATGAATGCACATAATCTGAAAAAGCTTCAACTTGCCCAAATTGCAGCAACACAGGCCACCATGAACACATTATCCCAGAGTTCAGCTCTCTTCACTGGCTTCTAATTTAATACAGAGCCCAGTTGAAGGTCTTTGTCATGATATTCAATGCCCTCCATGGGATTTGTAGAACCATGAGTGGAACTGGAGAAAGAGGGTCAGGTTTCAGGAGGGAGATAGTTTGGCATCACACCAGAGGCTCAGGTAGGTGCTATCAGACAAAAAACAAGCCTTTCAGCATAGAACACGTCTCTATGCATGCTCTGTAGAGATCTCTTTCCTACAAGTCTAGCTGCCTGTAGCTAGATCTAGCCACCTGAGAGATCACCCCTCCCTCCACAACTAGATCCTACCAAGACAGTTACTTTCCACCTAACCTGTGACACTGTCAACCAGTGTGGGAGGGGCTCATGAAAGCATGGAGCTGGGATTGGACAGAGGAAGCTACTCCCACAAGAAATAAGAATGACCACAGAGAAATAATCAATTTCAGAAATACATGCCCAACTCATTTCTTCAATGTAAGCTTCTCTCAATAAGCTATGCAGCCCCCTCCTCTCGTCAAAACCACCTCATTCACTTGCTCACACAGACAAAACCCACATGCTACTTAAGCAATTCCTCCTACAAGCTGGGAAGAAAGAGAGACTTTCGTTCTTTTTTCTGTATTTTAAACACATCAAAGTTGCTCAGATATTACTGTGCTGAGGGACATTTAAGGAAACAGAGGAGACACAGAATTGATCACAATCAGCTATGAGGCAGGAGTTGTTTCTTTTATGCAACCATGTAGCACTAACAAACTAGTAAGTCCAGTATACGGATCTGAAACGTTAAACATGACTTTTTTTTTTTTTTTTTTTTAAGGCTGCAGATAAGTAACGAAGAACCAGAAAACACACTGGCCATGGATGATTCCTGTCTCAGCTACGGCCTCAGGGAAAGTATCGCCTCTTACATCTCCCTAGCAGGCGAGGACAACTCTTCCTTTCTGAGTAGCAGAAAGAAAAAAAGCCAGTCTCTCATATACACTGGAAGCAAACGCAAGAGTACCCTCCATTTGCCAACTACATATTATGAAGAATGAACTTGAGACAGATGCAGTCCACAGAAAAAGAACTGAGTTGTAAGAGCAAACCATGACCACCAGGCAGTCCTACCACAGCTGAAAGACACAAGCATACCAGCGGATGATCAAAGAGGAGATTGAAGGAAATGAAGCCAAAATTAATGCTGGTTTTGTGTTTGTACGGATTTTGAATGTTAACCAGATACTTTAAAAAAAAAAACCATCTCAGCTACTATGTACATAAATAATAACACTGCACCTTTAATTTGCTCATGCACAGGTTATAATTTAAGTTGAGAGAGGAACTCTAACTAAAAAATGATAAAGTGAAGCAAATGACTACTCAACAAAAGGTGAAATCACCACTGCACCAAGGGCCAGAGTGAGGTTTAGGCACCACTTAAGACTCACTTGAGCCTTCATACTAGGCCTTATGTTGGCACCATCCTCAGGAGTGAATATCACACAGTGTTATTAGAAAAGGATGGGTTTGCTGTTCATCACCTTTTCTGTGTCATTAGAAGACTCTCAGCAATAAGGCTATTCTCTTCTGGATGCAAAGTTATTTCCATCTCTGCTGCAGAGAAATCAGAAACTCACTGGCTCCCCAAAGACAATTAAAACGCAGCTGGTATCTAACTTCCAAGAACTGTTTTGGTGACACTGAATCGAGACTGAATTTCATCTTCTTGGGAAAAAAAACAAAACAAACCTGCTCTTCGCAATGGTTTAACTCAGCTGCTGGCAATGCCAAGTGAAATCACAAGACAGAGCAATCTTGGAGTTGTTCTTCGCAGTGAGCTAAACGGCTTCAAAGTGGATACCTGGGTGTAACAGAGTAGAATTCAGCTGCTCAGGCCCAATCTAGTAATATACACCAGGAAATGTTTTAAAATGACATTTAAAGTATGCTCAGATTAGGTCCTACAGTCATAGTGAGTTGCAGTATGTCTGAAATTTGTGTGAAAGTGCTCAGATTTCAACTTAATTTCTTGAAGGCTACATATATTTATGTATAATATTTATATTAAATGCTTTTTATTTCTAAACTATATAATAGTTTAGCAGCAACAGGTACAAGAGATTTTTTTTCTGAACATCTTTTCTGAAAAGATACATGAAATAGCAATAAGAGAGGGGTTCCCAAACTTTTTAACTGCATAACCCCATTTTAATGAAGTATTTCCTGCCAGGACCCCAGGCAGGATGGAGGTCACACCACAGAGAGGATACCATTTTGCTCTACAAAATTGCGTCCTCAGCACACTGTGACCTCATATGTATGGTGCATGCAAAGTCTCTTTGTGCAGAGGATGCCATTTAGTTGAGCAAAATGGCATTCTCCACGCATTGTGACTTCACACACACTGTACATGGGAGGTCATGCTGTGCGGACCAAAATGGAATCCTCCGCATGGTAGGGATGGCCATGACCCCATCGGCTAATGGCACGACCCCATTTAGGCTCGCAACCCACAGTTTGGGAACAGCTGCAATCAGATATTACCTAAAGCCATCTAGTGACAAATAGATTGAACCATCATGGACTAGAGTATCTTCTGATGCACATGTATCTTTTCTGTAGGTCTGTAAATGAAATAACAATTTGGCCCTTTGAACCCTGACTCTCCAGTGCCTTCAGCTTCAAGGGAGTCATTTACCCCTGTAGGAATAAAACTGTACCATCCATGTACATGAATTGAGAATTTTGACTTTAACACAGCCACTCTGCACAGGTCTAAATGACTATCCAAGGTAGGGATCACTGAAGAACTGGGTCCTTTATGGATATCTTCTGTACTTGTCTCTTAGCACAATCTGTGTATGTCATAAAAGTTCACAATGATCTATGTAAACAGTCCATAGTCTGATTAAAAACATTTGGGAACAATAAAACGTGAATGTAACTTACTTACAAATAGCGACCACCACAAAACAAAATAGACTCAGGAACTCTAGATGTTTGTACACTCTAATATATTGCTACTAAAGGGTTGGGCTCTTAACCAATGAAACATATATGTGAAGCATTACCATTTTCTAAAGCACGTCTTTGTATTTATTCCCCATTAAAATAATATGTAATCGCTATTCAGCTCTATGTTAAGTTTGTTGTCTATGGTAACCTGAGGGTTCATTAGCATAGAGGCATGAAAACACACACTCTTAGCTTACTAGCACACCCACCTCTTTGTGTATGAATATTTCAAGAAAATACTTTAATATTTACAGTACAGTAGTGAGCTGTCAAACTCATTCTAATGAGAGGGATAAATTACATTTTTAATTACGGTTTGATGGCTGGTACTACAAAGTTAGGATCATATACCACCCTCCAGATAGCAGATCTCTCACTGATAACCATTAGGGTTTTGCACAAAGACAGAGGATAACTATACTTTTAGTTAGGCCTTGTGTAAAACTTTCAAAAGCAGCTAAGTTACTGTGGAGCGTAAGTCTCAGTTCCAAAGTGACTTCAGTGCATATGTCTCATCGAAAGTCCCTTGTCTCTATCAAAGTTCCACTGGTTTAACTAAAGGTGGATATTCACTGACTTAGTTATTGCATGCAGTGTAGTTGTAGCTAGGGTGACCAGATGTCCCATTTTCAAAGGGACAATCACGTTTTTGGGGACTTTTTCTTATATAGGAGCCTATTACCCTCCACCCCCTGTCCCGTTTTTTCACAGTTACTATCTGGTAACCCTAGTTGTAGCCATGTTGGTCCCAGGATATTAGAGAGACAATGTGGGTGAAGTAATATCTTTTATTGGACCAACTTCTATTGGTGAGAGAGACAAGATGGTCCAATAAAAGATAAAGATAAAAGGTTCCATCGAGACTCTTAATTTGATTTAAATCTTGGTCATATCAATTTCTTAACTCAATTCCTTACCTCATTAAGCTAAATGGATATTGGTCAGGTTTAAATAAAACAGAGCCCTCACAGAGTTTTGCACTGGTTTAACTAAATCAGTTTTCAAATGAATTTGTTAAATCTGTTACAGAGCAGACACACACATTCCCCGTGCTCTCTCGGGTGCGACTTTCAGCATAGACAAGGCCTTGGTTATGTCATACCTCCCAGCCTGCCAAGATCAAAATGTGGGATTCAATATGTGACAAAGACCATAATGAGGGGGACAAAAATGATTCATACTGGAAAGTTAAAATGCTTAAAGGGATTTATTCATTTCATGAAAATAACTCTTCCTAGAAACTTAGTTTCATGGTTCCTTATTTCTGGCATAACTAATTTTCACCCCCACCCCCCAAAAAAGTGAGAGAACACAATATTGATGTTGAACTTTGGGACTAAAATAAGTAACATTCCTCAAAATGAGGTAACTTGGAGAGGTATGAGTCAAGTCATAGTAAGACTCACTAAATGAAAAAAAAAAAAATCAATGGCCTGTTGGGACCAGTGCTATTTCTGCCCTTTGCTCGCTCGGCCAATTGCAAATTCAATTATCCATTTTGTATGGAGATACTGCAGAAATTGTACGTGCAACTCAACTGCACCTTTAAATCATCATTTTTAGTTTTAAGAGTTAACTTCAAGTTGAGATGAATGGGGACACTTCTTTTGCAGTGTGAAACAGTGGAACATGCAATCCCTGTCAGCAAGTTACTGTCGCAACCACAAAGACTAGAAACTTACTTTTTTTAAAAAGTGAAAATTAGAATGTGAATCTCTCATGGGACTGGCAACATACCTCAAGGATGACGGATCCTTCAAAGAGGCCGGATGTTTGGCAGATCAGCTCTGTAGTCTAAAAAGTGCTGAACAGCAATAATATTTGCAGAATGGAAACTCTATAAATTATGAACCAGTTCTGTGTATATACACATGAAAAACCACAGTGACAGGAATCAAAATGTCAGTTTGATTAAATCAGTCACTTAAATGGGTTTTACCGTGTGTTTGTAAAATGCCTAGCACAAGGCAATCCCAATCTCAGTTGAGTCTGCTAGGTGCTATTATACAATAATATATTTTAGTGAGGCTAAAATAAAATAAAAAAATAAAATAAAATAAAATATATATAATGTATAGATGTATAGAATAAAACCAGCAAGCACTCTCCCTAGTTCTGTTAACACTGATTCATGTCTTTTCCGTTGGTATCCACTACTAAGATACAGAGGAATGGGACTCACCATCAGCAACGCCCTCTTGAAGAGATTCAAATCTGCTGCACCTGCAAGTAGGTGGATGCTGGTAATGTCTGCCCCACTACGATCAGCTGCTACTGAAATCTGACTTGGATCTCCTCCAAAGCTAGCAATGTTCTTCTGCACCCATTTCAGAGCTGCCACCTGATCCAGAAGACCCCAGTTTCCACGGGCCACACTAGAACCTGTTGGACGATATGGGAAGAGGGCAATTACTGCTCTGCAAGCAGACATGATATACAGGCGAGACCCTTGAACATTTAAGTGGAGGAATGATACATTTTTAATATCAGTCCTACATCTGGGACTGGATAAAACCGATATCACAGCTTATAGCACCTTCCTCCATGGCAGTCACTGTATAAACAACCCCCCTTAGAGCTGCCTCCATTACAAGAGATAAAAGGAGACCGTTTTCAGTGCTCTGTGCCTTATTCCATAGGGGCTCAATTTAACTAGTCATTAAAAGCAACTGGAATGTTTCTATTGACATCAGTGGGATTTAGACTGGGCACTGGATGCCAGAATGGGAACCCTGGACAGAGAAATCTCCCCTACCAAACAGGTCGGGCACAGACAGTGACCATGCAAGCTTTTCCATTTCAACCCCCGTGTGGGGGCATCTTATCTAAGGCCTGGTGCACACTTACAATTTAAGCTGACAGCTGTAGTGCTCAGGGGTGTGGAAACAACCCTTCCCCCCCACCTCCAAGCTCCATAGCTACGCTGACCTAACCCACAGTGCAGCTGCAGCTCGGTTAATGGAAGGATGCTCCTGCTGACCTCGCTACCGTCACTCTGAGGGCGGGGGTGTGGGTGTTCCTACACTGACAGGAAAAACCCTTCCATCACTGTAGGCAGCACTCCAGGGTTATGCCGGCGTAGCTACGGCGCCATACCTATGCTGCCAGAGCCCTAGTAGTGTAGACTCAGCCTAAGAGCTCGGCTGCATCACTGTTACAACCAAGCCAGGGGACTTTGTGGTTATTCATTATTTGTTAGGCACTGGCAACATACTTGGCCCTGTACATGACACAAAGAAATTACATGCCCCAAAGAGCCTAGAATGTAACAGACTCAGCTAAGGCAAGTTGCAATGGAGAAGCGTCACAGGGCAGTTCTTCAGCTACCCAGTTCTTCAGTAGATCTCAAAGCACTTCACAAAGGACGGCACTATCATAATCCCCATTTTACAGATGGAGAAACTGAGGCACACAGAGGGGAAGTGACTTGCCCAAGATGACCCAGCAGGTCAGTAGCAGAGCCAGGAATAGAACCTAGATGTCCTGAGTCCCAGTTCAGTGCTCTAATGTCTATGAAAGAAGGAACAGAGGGCGGAAGTGTTGAGCGCATCACTGATGAGTTCTGCAGCAAGGTCGAGCCAAGCACATGAGATGAAATCCTGGCTCTGTTGAAGTCAATAGGAGCTTTATCGCTGACCTCAATGGGTTCAGGATTTCACTCGTTCTCTGGCAACGTTCTGGAGATGATTGGAAACAGCAGGCTAACAATTAACACACCATGAGAGCAGCAAACTACGGATGAAACTTTTCTTCAAAGCCTCTGTGATATATTAGTAGCTTGTTCCACTCCACTCCCAGAGAATATTAACGAAAATATAAGAGTGGCCAGTTTATACAAAATGAATAAAACAAAAGGCTTGTCCAGCTGCATGGATTGCCATGAGAAAGAGGTTTTTATTTAGTAGTAACAACAATACACCCCTTCTTTCTGCAAATGGAAAAATCATGAATGTTGTTCTGTTTTCATTTTATATCTGCCTGCTGGGACTTTTCTGTCTCAATGAAATTAACCAAAAATCTACACTCCTCTATTAAAAAAGAAAACAAAGTACTACAGTATCTCCCAACAATAACCCAAAACATTACAGCTTAGAACAGAGACACTGAAGCTATGATTCTACAATTACAGGAGGTTTTGTTTGTTTGTTTGTTTTTTAAATATAATAAGGGAAGGGCAGCTGAGCTAGCAGACCAGCAAGCTATCATACTGTCTACAGACCGAGGCCAAGATTTTCTAAATTGAGTGCCTCAAGTTAGACTTAGTTACCTAAATAGGTAGCTTCGTCTTCAAAAATGCTATCTGCAGCTCTCAATACTTACATTCTTGTAGCATCTTTTCCTCCTGTACCCATCCTGTCCAGCCCCTTGCCACATAAATTACAACCCTCTGGATTCCCTTGCATCCCCTTACAGTCTTATAACTAAAATACAATATGTATTTTAATACAACCAACTGATACATCATCTCTGTGGCCCCATATAACTCTGTGACATAACAACCATGAATTTTACAATTCGCCACTCACAGCCCTTTTGCAAATGAGAAAAGCCGAGAACATTCTAGTACCATGCATTCCCCAGGACTACCCAAAGGACAGCCAACTATTCAACAGTGCCCGAGAGTAACCTGATATTTTAAAAGCGGGATGGTTTTGGCATTAGTTTCCCAATGACACTTTTTTCTAAAAAACTGGAACTTAAAGCAATAAAAGCAGAAATAAGCAATTCCTTGTTAAGTATCAAAAAGGAAGTGAAAATAATTGTTCATTGCCTACGACTTTGATTCACAGTCGGCCATTTATATTTACCTACTTGTCTTCAACA